TTTTATTTTTTATAATTTAAACTAACATAGTCTATTTTTTTTTATAAATTAAAAATGCCTTAATTCTTTTTTATAAAACTTTCTTTATTTACATGACCATTAGGTTTAATTAGATTAATAGACTTTTATCTTAAATTTCTCTTTTTTTATATAAATCTATTTGTACATAAAAATACTAATTAAAATACATTAATTTTAATACATAAAAAATAGAACTTAAAACATTCTTTTCTTTTCTTAAAATATTTTGTTTTGTACATATTAACAAAGATACAAAAGGATAATAATACTTAACAAATAAATAAATACCTAATCTTACATTAAGTTAACATTTCACTTGTAAATAAATCATACACTTACACGAATACATTGATACATTTACATTGCTCTTATACATTTGCTTATCTTGTACATTTGATACATTTTTTACATTACGATCGATTCGATTTGGTTGTAAATTTATTTGGACACTACTCTCCTATTAAGTCTCATCCCCATTTGTAAATAATTGTACCCCCACTCCCGGATACTTATTTGTAATAGCGTAGACTTTAAATTCCCGCAATTTATCGCTTTCAAATATACCATGGTTAGACCTAGGGTTTGTATGTACATAAAATCAAACGCTAGATAACCTAATACAAAAACAAATACATGAAATCAATACACATTCACACTTGCACCCCTAGGGTAATCCCGCTTGTTGCCTTCCAAAATGGGCCATGCTTGCACGTTGAGTATCTTTGGCAAAACAAAACAAATCAAAATGATCATAGTCCCTCGATGACGCTTTCGAAAGTTGCCTATCAAAATGATCATAGTCCCTTCAAGCGAATTGCAAAAGACACTTGGCACCATTGCATTCATGGTCCATATGATGACCCGCGCCTGTCCCGTTAAACATCCTAACGCAAGATTGTCCACCAAATACAATGGTGGAACAAAATTGTTAAAAAGGGTTAAAACATGAGAAAAACCTTTGAGTACAATAGGGTAGATAAACTCTTAATTACTTGATCAACTTGCAAAACACACTTGCCTACTTTTCTAAACCACACTCCACAAATACTTTCAAAACAAACTTTCAAAAGCATTTGAAACATATTTTCGAAAAGATACACACCTTTGTAAAACACTCAAACACGAGTCATTACAATGGTTGCCTAAGACAAGGCATCTTTTTCAAAACATTTTCAAAACACACACACACCACAATTTCAAGCAATTGAAAATCAAGGCAAGTGATCTAAAACAAGTAACTAAGAGCCCATGGATAACCATGGATGAAAAGGGTGCTAATACCTTCCCTTTTCATAATCTACCCCCCGAACCCACAAAACATCTCAAAAAGGTTTTTCCTGTGCTTTTTAACCTTTCTTTAGGATAAAATAAAAAGTCGGTGGCGACTCTTGCTCAACCGAACAAGTGCGAAAACAAACGCAAAACCTCAAGTCAGTTCTCCCACCGTATCACAGAGGGTCCAACACATCAACACCCAAGGAAATTAGCGCCAAGAAAGTCAATTAATGAGAGTATACCCAAGGCCAGGCGAAACGCTTTTGGTTTTCATACTCCGATGTTACAAAGCAGAATCTGAAATCCTGATGTGCCCAAGATGTGGCGCAGTATATGACAAGGTGATTGTTGAAATGTTTAAAAGAATCCCTTTCCATGGTAGCTGGGAGCCAAGGGAAGCAAACCCAAGGATGTACGTGTTTGACAAAAGGGGAACGTCGAAAAGGCCAGATAGCCCACATCCCAAGGCAAGAAGAGTCTCGTTCAAATTACCTGCTGAGATACCAACTGACCGATGGATGCATGTTAATGATGAGAAATCAAAGTGGAGGAGTTTCGACAAGGGAGGCAGAATAGCTTTCGCCTATAGAAGGCAATTCCAGGCATCAACAAGGGAGGCTCACAGGCTAGACAATTATAAAGGAAAAAACCCCATGTCAAGGTCCCAGTGGCGTAGACACCAGAGAGCAAGGAAAAGAGAAAGGGAAACAAAGCAGAAAGAGGTAGGTGAATCAAGCAATACCAAATCAGTATCTAGAACATCGACATCCGTCAAACCGCTGGTAGGACGAAGGTTGTTCACTGAGGAACAACAGAAAACGAAAGAAGTGACTCAAGAAAATCCCATAAAATCTGAAGATATGTTGACAGACGATTTCGACTCTGATGGTGTGTCATCTCTGAACATGAATTGCAACGTGGTATCCGTTATCCCCCATGAGTACTATCAGGAAACTGAAGTTGAAGACTGCGAAGAAGCTGATGAAGAGGAGATGGCGAAACACAGACCCGTGTGTTACTACGTCCTCAATAATGGAGCAGTCGAAGAGCAAAATGCCTTCTTCGAAAGGCCTGACGGAGCTATGAGAAACCATCTGAAACCTTTGTATATAAGGGCCAAGATCGAAGACACTGGTATTAACAAAGTACTGGTGGATGGAGGGGCTGCAGTTAACTTGATGCCTCATTATATGTTAAAAAGAATAGGGATGTTCGACACGGACATTAAACCTCACAATATGGTGTTGTCTAACTATGAAGGGAAAATAGGTCACACCCTGGGGGTAATTCAAGTAAACTTGACAGTTGGGTCTGTGACAAGACCAACTATGTTCATGGTGATTCCTACAAAAGCGAATTATAATTTGCTGCTAGGGAGAGAGTGGATACACGGGGTGGGGGCAGTGCCATCGACCATGCATCAAAGATTAACCATATAGAGAGAGGAAGGAGAAAAACCCTTTTTATAGTGAAGAGTGATTGTCCATCAAAAGGACACGTGTTCGCATCCTGAAGGAGAAGGCGAGAAGTTTGTCAAGTCACCTGACATTGGGAATGGTTATTCATCATTGTAACTGCTGCACGCACGTCTTGAAGAGACATTTTTTGGGAAGAGATGTCATGATGATATCATTAAAATATAAAAAGATTCTCTTTGCTGGTCGAAATAACGTAAATCACAAGAAATGCCTATTTCTGCACATATTCGAAACAGACATTTATTGGGGGCAATTTGTTTGCTGGGAATTTCGACCAGGATAATAAAGGAATCATTCATTTAAATTTCCACAAGATGGCTTGAAAAAGCTATAGACGAAGTATGTTGTTACTGGATCTGAGTTGAAGAAGACAGTTTGAAAGGACAAGTGTTTTTGTTTTGTCAAAAATGCGTGTTTCGACGGCCACGTGAGAAAGTTGTTGCTGAAGGCTTCAGCAGGAATGTTTGAAATTCGAAATAGTTTCTTTGGATAAGAAAGACGCGTGGAAGCCTTAGAGTGTCGAAAGACATGCAAGAAGCGACATGACTTTTCATTAGAATAATACCGTTATGGTTAGAACATTATAAATAGTTCCTTAGTGTTAGGGAGAAAAGAGGATCATAATTCGTACAAAATTACTCATAAAATACTCAAGTACCAAGTTACAGAGAAAGAGTTCATTGAGAATGTACGTATGACATCACACATTTTATCTTTGAAATGCATTTATCAATATAATTTCTTTTGAACCATTCTTTTACGTACTCCTGCAATTGTTCTTAATTTCTTTATGTTCTGTCGAATTGCTTCATTTTCCTGTAAAGCTTTATGTATCAAGTTTCTTTTAAAAGGCCTTTTCCTTTACAATCAAGTCTTTTAATTCCAGTTTTAAGTCTTTTCATTGTCAAGTATTTACATTCAAACCTTTTTTGATTAAGACGTTTCGTCCAAACCTTTACATTTGAATTTAATTCCAGAAGTCTTTGTATTTTAAGCCTTTACACAAACACATGCACAAGCACTACGTCGTGTTTAACATAAACCGTCAAGTGTTACAATTAATGTTAAGACACATGTCCTAAGATCAATCTAGTCGATCCTGCGAGTAACCATACATATCAAATTTATTTGGAACACTAGCGGTTGTTTCGACATAAATCACTGCGAACAATAACTAACCTATGAGATTTGTGAATATGCACACATACTAGTTTCAGTAGATGTAGAATGTTGAGTTGGTTGCACCTCTGCAAAAGCAAATAAACATTATATAAATAAATAAACATAAAAATTTGTAACATTAATATATCATGAAAAATATATTAAAAAATTAATTTATATTTTAAATTAGAAGTACAACTGAAATATAATTCATATAATATATTAAAAAAAATTTAAACTATAATAATTACTAATAATAAATAATTTGGTAGAACATATGTATGAGTAATAAACTAAATATTACTCAATTAATATACAATAAATATTGGATGTTCAAATTAAACTTCTCTTATAAAATAATACACACTATTAAGTAATGACAGAGAAGTAAATATTTTAATTTGACCCAACTCTGAATTAATATTACCTTATTCTCATATGAACTAGAATAGAAAGAGAAAAAAATCAATAAAGTTAAATATTATGAACAGTGTGCACATTAATAAATTATTTACTTTAATTATAATAATTAAAAAACAATACATACTTTTATAACGACTAGTATAATTTTTTTATGATGAGCAAAAAGTCACTTGTTCATACTAAACTATGCCTTTTAGTAGTACTAAGTTAGGTACTCCTACATTATACAAAAAATCATTTATAAAATAATTAAGTGAAGTAGTTGCACACTAAGTAACAAAACCACACTTGTGGTAGCTATTATCTCAAACCATATAATTTTTGTCGACATGCCAACTTTATTTATTCTTTCTTGTGGTTGAATGTCCCTTGTCCATTTCTCTTGAATGTATCATAATTAAAAATGTAAGTGTATATCTATTTGGTGATCGAACAAGTGCTTTATTAAAATAATAAAAAGTAAAGTATAGCATTAGTGTAAAATAAAAATATTCGGAATTTGTTGTACAAGGCAAAACGACAAGACGTTGAAACCCAAATTCGTTTCGTTGTTTTCAAGTATACCCTCTTTACACCACTTGTAATTCTCGACGACGAATCCAAATTTCATCTCTCTCTGCGTTTCACTCTCTTGTCGATGAAATGAAATGGAAGATGCAGATGGAAGAAGTAGAAGCGATTCTCGAGAAAATCTGGGACTTACACGACAAACTCAGCGACGCCATTCATTCTATTTCGCGATCTCATTTTCTCGCTTCGGTTAAAACCGTAACGAACTCTTCTCAGACTATAAACGACGCGGTTGCCACCGAAACGACACTAGACGGTGCTGGTTTTGTTTTCGTCAAGGACTTTCGGCCGCGGGATGAGGATGCTGATGACGCTGTCAATGAAGCCAAGAGTCTTAATGCTATAAGGACCGCGCTCGAGAATCTTGAAGACCAGCTCGAGTTTTTCCATGTGAGTTTCGGTTTTGATTGAGTTTGGGGATTTTTGTTGTTTGAACGTTGATTTTGATGGTGCAATTGGTTTTTAGGTCGTTTTGTGAAGGATTGTGTTCTAGGGTTTGGTTAATTGTGAATTAGGCGCCAAAGTGTTTCGTGTTTTTTCAATTGAATGTTTGTTGTGGTTTTGTGATTTCAAATTTTGATGAAATTGAATGTTGATACGAATTCGCAGTAACTGCTAATGTTTGCTGTGATTTTATAATTTGAAATTTTGATGAAATTGAATGTTAATATGAATTTTCTCGTAACTGCTATTTGACTATTCTTCTATATAGGTTATTGCTGAATAATAACCATTTATTCAAATTCTTCGACATTATAATTTATAACAGTTCTTTGACTACACTGGTTATAGTGTATATTATTTTGTTTTCTTATCAGAACAAAATGTAGTTTTTGCTTTAAATTGTTAGTAAGTTTTGATTTGGAATATTATGTTTGAGTATTATAATCGTACATGTACTAGGCCAGTTTAGTTGGGTTGGAGAATACCGGTATAGGAATATATGACCCTGAGGAGTGATTATATGGACTGGAGAAACGAAAAGAAGGATGTAATCATGAAATGTGAAACATGTTAATGATATGATCTGATTTGATTAATTAGGTTACATTTGAGTGTCAAACTGAAGAGCAGTATTAAAAGACATTTTTTGCGTTGTTTCAATGTGCGGTAAGTGGTGTGTTGATCGAGAAGATAGTAATCCTTCTCAATGGTTCTGGAAGAAGTTTTTATCTTATTCAAAGTGTATACATTTTTTTAATTGAACTATACATTTTGTTATAAGGAAATAGAGGAGTTTCTTCTTTCTAGTCTAAACTTTTGTACTAGATTAGGCCGGCTTTTTAACTTCAGGTCAGATTAAACGGTATATTTAGTAAATTTGTGAATTGTGATAATCAAACTGCTTGCAATCTTCCCTGTTTTGCAGATCATAGTACTATTAGTATATTGTTGATTTCGACTTTAAAGAATAAATTTTAGGCAATATAGAAAAATAGGAGATTGTGTGATAAGTGGGAGCTGTGATATTTCATATGTTAAATGTGGCAGAAATATGTCAATGTTGCAAAAACCAACACAATGCTCATTTTTATACTGTATACTACTATATACTATAAATCTATGTCAAGTAGTAGCATAAAACAACCAGACCAAGCTTAGTCCAGTAAGACTCCTAATGCTACACAGCGTCTAACTAATGCAATATTGAAACACTTACCATTAAAATGAAGCTTACTATTCCTATTAGCTTATTATTACAAAGAAAATAACCCAAACATATAATGTGTGCTTCAGAAAACATAATATAAGGCATTGTTATTTGGTGAAATTAGATATTTTCACATCTCATGTTTTCACTTGATATGCCCCTTGTAGATGTATGACATACACAATAGACCATTATTCTTGAACTTAGGAGACGCAAAAGATTTGAAAACTTGGGAATATGAAAGCTGGATGTTGTTAGAAAATGGTTCAAATCAACTAGTAACTTGTAGCAGTAAGGGAAGAAGAGAACACAGTCAGAGATGGAAGCTGATTGCAGCAGACCATGTAGAAAGAGTGCTAATCAGATCTAACTGCAGCCAAAATGCAAGTGAACACCAAGAAGTCATTGTAACCAACCAATAACACCAAGAAGTCAATGTAACCAATAGCACTAAGAAGTATAAACCTCTAAGGCTTAAAGTGACTAAACTGTCTGAACATTGAAGCTCTAATAAAGTTTTCTAGGTTGGAATCATTGATCATCATTTTCTAAATCAAAGTCTTCCTCCTTACCATTTCCAGTACTATTAGAGCATAGATGGTCATCAGCTCATGGCTGGTTCTTGGAGATAGTCAGCAGGTCACCGGAACAAAAGGCAAAGTGAGAAACTATAAAAGAAACCTCGATCGCAAACCAAAGAGAGTTCTAGTATGACTTTCTTATGAAATCCCTAAAATACCTCCACTGAAAGTCCTAGCGGCTAACTGCTATTAGGTTTCTGGAATTTCCGTTTGTATTCATCGGATGGCACTATCATGCCGCAATCCTCTCTTTTTTTGCCAAAAGAGTGGCTGCAACAGACTCCTGGGATAGTGAACTGCAACAGACTCCTGGGATAGTGAACTGCAACTCAATGGAGGGCATTGTATCCGCTAGAGGCCATGCCGCGACAATGTTATTGGGCTGCAAGTGCGCGAAATTGGTAATCTGAATTATGCTGTGTACCTATTACTCCTATTTATACTGATAATAGAAGTCAAGTACCAATGTAGTACAATTTCAGCTCAATGAGAATACTATTGTTACAAGATTAATGTGTGAATAAGCCAAATATTTGTATACCCATTAATACTTCTAATAAGTGAAGTTTGACATCACTTGTATCACATAAAGAACTCTAATACTTTGACGGTCAGGATGAGATAGAACCTTCGTATTCATAAAGAATGTCCCAATTGTTGTTAAAGATAATGAATAGAAATAATGTTCCATGGAAAGGCAGGTTTGTGTAACAGGGATAAGTCTGACTAAAATGTAAAGGTCTATTATTTGGTTTATGTGAAGAATTAGATATTTAATGCATAAAATGAGCCAACAACATTGTTTGTCCTTTAGTTTCTTTTGGAACATGGGAAGGTTTACTCATCAGTTAATTGCATGCTTGATTTCTTTACCATGAATTTTTCGGCCCCATCTTGTTTGTTTTTGAATATGGTTATGTTCTAAATAAGAATTTCATTCTGTTTGATATGTAGACCATTCAGACTCAGCAGCGTGTTGAAAGAGATGCTGCAATTGCTCGTCTGGAACAGAGTAGAATTGTTCTTGCAATGAGACTGTCGGAGCACCATGGTAAAAAATATAAAGTCATTGAAGAAGCTCTTGCTTTTGTTGGAGAAGTACAGGATGCAAGCGGCCTTATTTCACCTGAAGTTTTTGGACAACCAAAATGTACAGCTGAGAATTTTGTAGCTGATAAAGGGAAGAGATCTAATATCCTCATTAGTGCTTTTGTCTCAAGTTTCAATTTTGTGAAGAAATCTCTCGGGTTGGATCATATGGGTGGAATAGTGGGCAATGCTGCTTTGCTCACAGTTAGTATGATAGCTATGCTTCATTTACATCAGGTAACTAACCATGGACATCCATTTAGGGAAGAAAATAGAAATCACGGCAACAGAACTATGAGAAGAACAACTCAATTGGATTCTTCGTCCGGTGCCCATTCCAGTAATCTGGATGTATTGTTGGCTAGAGGCTAGGATTTAACCTTGATCATGTAATGCCTCGAGCGATGTGTTTTTTTTCTTTCTTTTTTTTTCTTCTTTCTTTTGTCCGTGCACTTGTTCCTTTGTTTTTCTTGGTTTCAATGGAGGTCTGAAACCTGGTCTGGGGAAAGAGGAGAGAATATGCTAAAATGGAGGCATACCTACCCTAGAGAGTTTTCTCGAAGTGAGTTGGTATAGTTTGATATATGGTTTTTTTGTTGCCACTGAAAGATTGCACCAGTTGCATATGATCTGATGATGTGTGAGAAATATAGGTTCTGTTTGCGAATTCCCACTTGTGGATCTGGTGCATATGATCTGATGATGTGTGAGAAATATAGGTTCTGTTTGCGAATTCCCACTTGTGGATCTGGTGCAGATGCTTATACTTAGTTGGATAGTGTCATCTGTGATAGATTCCTACATCTTTTTTGTGGGTTTTAGCTTACGAAGTAAGTATGCCTTCTACCTTGATTTTTCTTGTTCGTTTTGGTTCCCACTTGGTAGAACTAGAATCTTCTGTAAGAATTCTGTTGCAATGAAAGAGCTATTTGGTGTCAATTTTCAAGAAATTGATTATACAGCACTGTATTGGTAGCTAGTTGTGGCTTTTGGTTCTCTCTTTAATCTAACATATGGTTACCTAAGATTCATACATTGGCGACTTTTAATAGATACATTGGTATATGTATAATGTATTAGCAAACTTGTTTGGTACCTAAGGGTGCTCATATCGAAACCGATCAAATAAAAACTGCAAATTGATCTAAAAAAAATCAAGAATTGCTAAAATCGAATATTGTTTGATGTGTTTGGATCTCACTTTGTGGAAATTACTCTGATCAGATCAGATTGTTTCTCAAAGCCGTTCAAACCAAACCAAATCGTATACATATATTTTAACTTATTTATTTGGACATATGAGTTTTTACTTCAAAATTGATATAAACCACTTCATGAATATCCCTAAAGCTGTCACTTTTGAAAGATGTGCTTGGGATATGGAGTCTTAGAATTGAATCCTTCAATTTCAAGTTTAGCTGTTTGGAATAAAAACTGGAATTTAGAGTTCAATATTTTGGAGGGGAACATTCCATTCACCAGTTCATACTATTGCAGACATTGCCCATGGTGCTGTGAATGGAATCCAACTATTCCAGCAAAGTTCTTTTTACTATGGTTTCACTTAAATCCTTTTTTAAGGATAACCATGGCTAGCATAGATATTCTCCTTTAAATTGCTAGAGTATCTTAAACTTACGGTTAAAGTGTCTTAAACTCCTGTCAGTGTATCCTTAAGAGATTGTGGAATCAGATTCTCAAAGTTGAATTTGATCAAGGACTTCATCTATAAGGAGTGGGGGTTCTAGTGGCAAGGTTAAAGTGTCTTAAACTCCTGTCAGTGTATCCTTAAGAGATTGTGGAATCAGATTCTCAAAGTTGAATTTGATCAAGGACTTCATCTATAAGGAGTGGGGGTTCTAGTGGCAAGTAGCAGAATTCTTTTGGAGAACATTAAGACAGTTTTTTGAAAAAGAAAAAAACATTAAATCAGTTTATAGCATCCGTAAATATAGTTCCAAAATATGGAAAATAAATTAGTAGGAGCAAGGGTTGAACAGTAACACCTTCTTTGTAATTCTAAAAGAGCATAGTAGCAAATAAAGTGCTTACCCAATTGAGAACAATATTAAAAGTGCAATAGCCCAACGGAAGGAATGTCGGCATATTTTCTAGTTCATTTTGCTTTTAGAATTTGTGTCTGCCCTTTTTGTTATTTACATGTAAAAGGCAAAAGCTAACCCTAACATAATTAGCTTGAGTCATATTCACCTACCTCTAAACACTTCTTTTGACTTCTCATTGGATGCATGTCATGCATCATTAGATTTTTTATTTATGAAGTTAAGCATTTAGAAATTATTCTTAGACAAATAGACACCTCCTATCTTAGAGAAATTAACTTGTCATTCTCCACATTATATCCATATTATATATGGTACTTTCCAATGATATAAAATTGACTTAAATTATTTATCACAAATTCTAAATTTACGTGACCATTGGATTTTTTAAATTTTTGGATGATACTGAATATTTCAAAGGCGATATTGGAAATTTCGTGAACAAGTAAGAATTTACGGTAAATTTATGAAATTTCCGGTATTTTGTATCGAAAATGTCAAAATATCTGATATTTTCGTACCGATAATTTCAAAGTATCCAATATTTTCATTTACCATTTATATCAAAAAATTTGAAATTTCCGATACGTCACATAATACCGGAAATTTTGAAATTTTCGATAGTTCAATTTTTTTTTTAAATATCAGAAATTTAGACATTTTTGATAGTTTATATTTTCTTAATATTTTCTTATTTTGTAGTGAGAACCAGAGACAAAGATGGTTCTATTGTAGGACAGACCCCTGATAGAGCTGATGCTGAAGCCCGGGATGACGAGGCGCAGACTTCAGAGCTACGGGATGAACGTCTTCCTCCGGCCGGTTCTCACTGGAAACGGATGGCAGAGCAGCATACGCAGTTTCGTGCATCCCGCTCTTGGGGTATTAGAGTATCCACTGTTGAGGAGGTACACGCTCCTACTGAGGACGTACAGACTCATGTTCCTATTGTAGAGCCGGTAGTTGAGGAGCACATTTTGAAGTCTATGGTGCAGGAGGCTGAGCAGGAGGTTGTTGCTGAGCGAATTGATGAGGTGTTCCCCGTTGATACAGACACCGCGACTCGTGCGTCTACAAAGTCATCAGTATACACTGATGAAGGTTTCTCTGAAGGACCTTCATACAGGTCCGTGCTGACAGGATTTGCGGACAATGTCGCTTATAGGATATGGTATGACGATGTATATATTTTTGGTTTTGTTTAATTGCATAATTTTTATTTTTGCTTACAAGATTTAATGTATATTAATTTGTTTTTACTTCTTACAGGAGCGTCCAATGTTGAAGGTTGCTTCTCATGGTTCAAAGTTGAAAAACTTCCCTGAGAGTCTCATGCCTGAGGAGATGAGAATGATCGTTAGAAATTTTTATCTCCTGGAGTTTGCTGATTGCTCCTTGACCATGTTGGACGCCTCCCTGTTATCAGCTTTTGTTGAGAGGTGGCACCCGGAGACATCATCCTTCCATCTTCCATTTGGGGACATGACGATGACTTTAGATGATGTGGACGCCCTCTTTCACATTCTGATCGCTGGTATATTTTCTTACACCAGTTTACAGGGATCAGGCGATGACGGTGCATATGGTTATGGAGATTTGGAGGTTTCTGAGACGCACGCGCTACAGGAGTTTGGTGAGATTTGAGGATTTCACCTTCGGATATCTTAGCTGGGGAGGTTGTATGGGGAGCTTGTGGAGGCACATAAGTACTAGGTTGCCGCTAGGGCGTACATGCTATATCTGGTGGCATGTACTCTCTTTGCGGAAAAGTCTGGTGTTTATATTGATGTTCGATACTTGTCTCTCTTCAGCGCACTTGACACTCCATGTTGGGCTTGGGGAGTGGCGACTTTGACCATGTTGTACACAGAACTTGACGTTGCTTCTCTCCCTAAAACAACTAAACATGAAAATTTAAATACTTCTAGATGACTCTGGACGTTTCAGTATTTTCATTATACCGTCGATGGATCTTCGGATCTGCGCATCTAATTCGATCGGACCTTTAGTTATCCTACTGCAAAATGATTTTCACATGGCCTTCACATCTTCATCATTCTTCAACTAGATTAGGTTGTGATCTGGATTGGGCCTACATTTGCCCTACGAACGGGAAGCCCGAAGAAAGCCCAAGTTAGGGACCGTGGGGCAACTCCCCATCCAACCGTTGGAGGACGTGGCCCACGACCTCCTGACAGACATCTCAAACTGCCCTCCGGGAATCTCGGGTCCAGCCCTATTCTCGCGGAGCAGTTGACCAGGGGAGTCCATTTGATGGATTCTATACACACGTAAACCCTGGCAGTTCTTATTATTGGGCCTCCGCATGGCCCAAGAGTGGGAACCTTGGCCCAGCGCTGGGGGCTATAAATACCCTCTCTCATAAGAGGGTCAGGTATTCATTCACACATCTCTAAACTCATACTTGCTTGATCATTCTGCTTCTCACTTTACCATCGGAGTGTCTTGCAGGTACCCCCCCCATCTCATCAACTTCTGCCCGAATCCAATTGTGACGGTCCATCTCCGATCTGGTAAGATCAGTGGCGCCGTCTGTGGGAAACTAAGCTTCCCCGTCTTCTATTCACTTGAGACCAAAAGTTAAACAATCCTCGTCTGTCGTGGCTGATCAGACTCCAAACAACCTGAACGTATGTGTCATCGATGTTAACAACAACATTACCGATAACAATACCGGCCTCGACAAGGCCGGTACCGCCGGCCATAACACTGCCCCAGGCGTTAACGTGCCCGGGCCTTCTAACTATAGAGGCGGAGCCACTGCTTCATCTTCATCAATGCCTCCTCTACTTGAAGAAGATCGGCCACCTCCCTAGAACTATCCACACGTCCAATTCCACGAGGTCCTCGTCCCAGCCGGGGCAGACGCCACGACCCGGGCACTGTTCGTGGAAATCAATCAAACCAACTACCTAATCTTCGCCCAAGGAGAAAGACTGAGGGCACTCGAAGACGATCGAAGGCCCCCGAGAAAACACAGGAGGCCTCAATCCCCTCCTCCCTGACAAGCAGAGGAACGTCCCCAATCTCCCCCGCGGAGACATAGTCGGGACATCTCACGAAGCCCATCTCCCCGACTAATCAGGAGACGACCCCCCTTAGAGAGGGAACATCTCGTTGATGCGGGAAGGCGCAACCATGCCCCCTCGCATCAAGAACGAAGACCCCCTGGAGACAGGAATGGAGGGAACCATCAACGGTCATACCGCCCGAAGAATGCTCTGCGCGACCAAGGCCACCTTGACCTCCACTACATCAGATCTTCGTCTCGCTCTCCCGAACAGAGTGACGAGGACGACCCCCGTTGTCCCTTGTCACAAGCTATCATGGAGGCGCGCATTCCCCCGGGCATGGAGAAGCCTCCCCACTTAAAGGAATACAACGACATCGCTGACCCGGTCGACCATATAGACGAGTTTGAAGCCATGATGCACTACCACAACATCGGGGGACCAATCAAATGTCGGTTGTTCCCCACGACTCTGAGGAAAGAGACTATGGACCGGTACAAAGGTCTCTCCCCGGGGTCAATTACCTCTTGGCAAAACCTGAAGAACCATTTCATCAGCTTGTTCACTGCTTCGCAACGACACCCGAAGACCGAAGCAACTCTCGAGGCCATCGTCTAGAGACACGATGAGACCTTGAGAGAATTCATTGATCGCTTCAACCGGGAGACCATCCAGGTCCCTTGCACGAACCATATGAAGAGGTACCTGCTCGAGAGGAGGCTCCTCCCGGGCACCGAATTCAGAAAAGCCGTAGGCATCGAACCACCCTGGATGTTCGATGCCCTCCTCGAGAAGGCCAGAGCCTATACGGACTACAAGGAGAGAGAAGCTGCCAACAGAGCTCGAGATCCTAGAAACCGCGGATCTAGCAGTAATCCGCGACAAGACATCACCCCTCCTCTACGAACTGGCGAGAAGAGAAGGGACGATAAACCCCGAGACGCCCGAGAACAAAGGGGACCCTCTGGGAGGTTCACTGAATACACTCAACTAACATCTTCCCGCGAGCGCATCTTAGCAGAGTGCGCAAGTACAGACTTTAAGGACGACGGCATCAAGCATCCTCGCCTGGCTCCTGCTAAACCAGGGGTAGACCGAAGAAAGTACTGCCAGTACCACCGAAGCCATGGGCACTTGACCGAAGATTGCGTCCATCTCAAGGACGCCATCGAAACCCTCATAAAGGGAGGAAGACTCACACAATATCATCGAGGATACGCCCCTCGTCGAGATGCCCGTGAATCGAGGGAAGCAGATGAGGATTCCTGACCATCTGACGAGTCGGTTCCCATCCAAACCGCGTTCTCCGTCATAAGGCCTGAGGACTTCTACATCCCCGAACAGCTGCAAGAGCCTCTGTCCACCCACAACAGGTGGGAAAACTTCACCTCCGCCATGGTCATCAATGGTGGAGGGTTTAATGATTTGACCATAAATTCAGCAAAAAGAAAGCTGGATGAACTGGTCGACGCGGCTCCCTCGCAAACAGTGACCTTCGAAAGGGTGAAAGGCAGGTCAGACCCGATCAGCTTTTACCTCGAGGAGCTCCCCGGAGGGGCCCCCAACTAGGCCATCCCTCTGCTGATAAGGGCGAGAATGGCCAACTTAGACGTCCATCGCGTCCTGGTCGATGAGGGAAGTTCCATCGACGTGATGTACAGCCAGCTGTTCAGAACCCTGCAGCTCGATGACTCTCACCTCTCACCATATGTGGGGTCAGACCTGCAGGGATTTAATGGCTCGACCTCTAAACCCTGAGGGTACACAAAGCTTATGGTCACTTTCAGCGAGGACACTGCTACCAGACAGGTCAAGGTCGGTTTCCTCGTCATCGACTGCCCATCCCTCTACAACTGCATCCTTGGGAGGCCAACATTGGCAGAACTGACCGCGGTGCCCTCCACCGTCCACTTAAAAATGAAGTTCTACACCAAGAGGGAACGAGTCGCCACTATTCAAGGCGACCTGGCAGCTGCCCGAAGGTGCTTCAACGCGGATTCTAAGGGCATAACACAGTCAATGCCAGCACACGGCCCGCTAAGAAAGCTTCAATTGCACGATCAGAACCTCAGCGATCAGAGCCCGCCAGAGTAGAAGAGTAGAGGCCCCTCCAAAGGTCGACTCGATCTCGCTGGATACTCGCTTCGATCAAGATGAGCCCTCCAGCGGCGAGCAGGTGCCCCTCCGACCAATTCTAGATGGGGACTTCAAGCTTGTCCCCCTCGATGAAGACCCAAGCAGAGGAGTGAAGATTGACACTAGACTCCCCGACTTGGAAAGAAAGTAAATCAAGGCTTACTTGAGGGAAAACGCAGATCTGTTTGCATGGAGTGCTGCGGAGATGCCCGATCTCGACCCTGAGGTCGCCTATCATCAACTTGCCATTGATCCAGCCGTTAGGGAAATAGTACAACGTAGGCGTAGGCAGTCTCCCGAGAAAGTGGAGGCTGCTGAAAAAGCTGTAAAATACCTCCTAGAGGCAAATTTTATTTCTGAAGCCCGATATTCAACCTGGCTGTCAAATGTTGTACTTGTTAAGAAAAATAATGGAAAATGGCGAATGTGAGTTGACTATACCGGTCTTAATGGGGCATGCCCCAAAGATGCATTTCCTTTACCTAACATTGATATGCTGGACGACAACTCGGCCGACTATAAAATTTTATCATTTATGGACGCCTACTCGAGCTACAACCAAATCCCAATGGCAATAGGCGACAAACACTGCACTGCTTTCATGACTAGCTCGGGCAACTATTACTACAACGTAATGCCAGTGGGTCTGAAAAATGCAGGAGCAACATATCAGCGGATGATGAACAAAGTCTTCCACAACCAAATCGGAGATATGCTCGAGGTATACATGGACGACATGATCGTCAAGTCCCGAGAAGACACCGACCATGCTGCTCATCTCAGGTAAGTCTTTGTCCAAGCGAGGCAATGCAAAATAAGGTTTAACCCCGAGAAGTGCATGTTCGGGGTCAAGGCGGGAAAGTTCCTCGGCTTCTACTTAACAGAGCGAGGAATCGAAGCCAACCCCGACAAGTGCCAAGCTTTCTCTGACCTTCCCACACCTACGTCGAAAAAATACATACAAGTCTTGAATGGCATGCTCGCCTCACTATCCCGTTTCGTTGCAAAATCCACTCAACACGCCCTCCCTTTCTTCAAACTCCTTCGCAAGGAAGAGGCTTTCGAATGGACCGAGGAATGCGAGCAGGCCCTGCTCCATCTCAAATAGAGCCTCTCG